CTACTAAGAACATAACTCCACCAACTGAGCTACATCCCCAAATATCCCCAGCCCCCAACTTCCTTCTTTCTATTCCCTTTCCTACTATCACCTTTTATTCTTTTGGGAAATATTCAAGTAAAGCACATTGATGGAGCAGCTGCAGCTCCTGGAGACTTCCCCTGGCCTCAATATCGTAATTTGCATAACTGAAGAAGGAACCCTGTGGATTCTGCAGGCTCCTCCTAAATTCTTACTAGCTAAGTTGCCTTCCTGGTGAATCCCTTTTCTTTCAGCTAAATTAGTGTCATTTCCATAATCAAAGACACTGTGATCACTGTCCCCATTATACTCTATTTCCCAAGGGCTCATTCCTGGTCATAAAGACCCATCCATATTCACTTGATAAGTCTCTGAATTTGATGTTGTGTTACCTCAACCACTTAATAATCCTTCTATTATGGTCTCTGAAAAATCCTATCTTTCACAATTTCAGTGAACTTTCCCTTCATCTTTTGCCTCTAACTGAAATCCAAAAATATTGCTTCTTCATCCTCAAATCACTACTAAATCTGGAGGTAAGGTGTTGTTCCTGTTCCCTGTCAGCACTACCAAACTAGTATCTTTCTTTTCTATTTAAAACCTCTGATTCTTTGAAGTTCATGCCATCAGACTAAGCTTTACCTGTCCTTGTTGTTATTAATTGATCTTTAGTTCTCTCTTCCTCAATCCTAGATTATAACTTCTGTTTCTGCATCATTTTCCCCTTTACATTTCTCTGGAGTTTCCACATCCACACAGATGGTAAATCTAATACCCTGGCCTCTGAGTTCCTTGATGTCTTCTTTCATCCACTCTCCCCAGGCACCCACAGGAATAATAGTACCTCATACATTATTTCAGTTGCAAACTATGTTTTAATTTTCTAGCTCATTCTATTCAGTATTTTGATTATAAGAATTGTTCAATCACAACACCAAGACTTCCAATCCATTAACACTTCTACCTTTACGTGATCCTTCAGCCCTTCATGTATTCTTACTTCCTTATCTGGCTTAGATTCTTTTGCATTCACCCCCACTTCTCCTAGAGCTCTTTCCTTGACCTTCTTCCCAGAAAAATCCAACCAGTTGCTTTATTTTCACTCAAGTAGCTGAATATGTTATTTTTATAACAAAAAAACAAACTTCCCACATCTATTTTCCCTTTTCAGCTGATAGCCTACCTTCTTATGTAACTGAGATAGTAGAAAATATCAGAGGTTACTAAGTTATTCATCTACTAGTCTTTCTGAACCTGTACCCACATATTAGTCTATCTTTTCTTACAATGAATAAAGCATCCTTTCTTGTAACTAAGGCCAATAGTCTGCTCTTGGACTTTCTCATTTTGTCAAAGACATTATTTCAATGTTCTCTCAACATAATTCACTCTTTATTTGGCCATATATGTCATCCTGAATGACTCTGATAAATCACCACCTACCAATGTTGGGGTGCAGCGGAGAGGCGGAGGGGAGAAACCACACAAGAGACTCACTTCATGCAATCGCA